GAAACAGCCGACGGAACCACAGAAACAGCCGACGGAACCACAGAAACGGCCGACGGAACCACAGAAACTGCCGACGGAACCACAGAAACGGCTGACGGAACCACAGAAACGGTTGACGGAACCACAGAAACTGCTGACGGAACCACAGAAACTGCTGACGGAACCACAGAAACGGCTGACGGAACCACAGAAACGGCTGACGGAACCACAGAAACACCCGATGGAACCACATGGACCAGAGATTACTTTGGGAAACCAGTCAAACGCTACTATCCAGATTTACATTCACAGACGTCTCTTCAAACTCTCCCATGCAGAAATGATGTTAACCCGGTCCAGAGGCGATGCTGACATCTCCAGGTTCTATCTGGGTCCGACCATCTCTCAGGTGAAATCTGGATCAGGATTCCAGAATTTTGTTTGAAGAATTGATCCAAAGAGGAAAAGCAACATTCAGATTCACAAAGTTTGTTTTCTCAGTCATCCAGGTATATAACAACAAAAAAGGTTGAATCATGTCATCTGGACTTTGTTTTTTTGTTAAAAAAGAAACGTTTCGCCCCTCGTCCAAGAGGCTTCGTCGGTCTGAGGCCTAGCCATCTGGTATTACCCAGAAGCCACCCTGACTCTTGTGTTTCAAGCCTGCCTCAGATACCCCTGAAGTCTGGCCTTTTCACTAATGGTTTCAAAAACACAAAGTTTGTTTTCTCAGTCATCCAGGTATATAACAACAAAAAAGGTTGAATCATGTCATCTGGACTTCGTTTTTTTGTTAAAAAATTCAGATTGTTGTTGTCAATAAGTCCAAAAGTCCAGTTCTGGAAAGATGTAGTGAGAGAACAACATTGTGCCCAGTGTTAAACATGGTGGTGGTAGCATCATGCTGTGGAGCTGCCAGGCAAAGAAACCACATTGTGCTCATGTTCTAAAGGTTGAGGAGGAAGAGGTTCTGGACCGGCTCGCCTGACGTGCCCCGTACAGAGGTGGAGGATTAGTTTGAAGTATTTCATGGAGCGTTGATTTAAAGAAGGACAAGAGAAACCACACGTTGTTTTAATGATCAAAAGTTTTATTTCTGTCATCGTTTTAATAGTTTCCAATCTGTTAATACTAAAAAAAAAACAGCTGGCAGAAGCAGACTTGATAAATTAGAGAAGTGCTTTTCATTTTTTGGCAGCAAGTTGAATTATCACCACCTCAGGTAGATGCAGACCCGTCTCTTAAATAATAATAATTCAAAGTGCACACATCGCTGCAACACGTGCCCTTACAGTGCGTGATGCAGTCTGTCTTCACAGTAAAGGCTGTCTTCTTACCTGCATGAAGCTCGATTGTTGTTGTGGATTTTTGTTGGTAATCGTAAAATGTTTAAAATAAATTTTTCTAATATGATGATTAAAATTGTGCCCAGGCTCCGTGCCGCAGGAGTGCCAGCAGTGCCACGCTCAGGCCTTATGTGTGGTTGTGCCCCTTGTCGTTTGTGTCTGTAAACCCGGATTCGAGGGGAACGGGACTTTCTGCAGTCCGGCACCACGTGAGTGTTGTTCAGTAACAGACTGGAAGTCCCAGCATGATTAATGTGTTTCTTTAAGAGATGAAACCAGCACCAGAACCAAACCTGAAACCAGGAGCTGCAACAGAACAGAAATACTTTGACCCTGAAAACAGATTGTGTAGGCAAAGTTGAGGATAAAACTCTAAATCAACTCAAAGTTGAGGATAAACCTTCAGCGCATGATAAGATTATTTTGGCTGACATCCTGCTAGTTGGATCACTCTGACCCAGCTGAGGTTCTGATAAACAACTCGAGCCTTTCAGAGGAACAAAACCGCTCCGTCAGTGTTTCTGTTAAAACTAGACAACGTTCTTTCTTCAAAGTTTGATGCTGCTAAACTGAACGTTTTGAATGTACAAATGACCCAAAGTGCATTTTCAGAGCAAGTTTTTAGTTTCATTTTGGCAACGTCCTTGAAGAAATTTATTCTTTCTCTGCGTTCACTAGCTATGGTAGGGACAAAACATCCTTTAAAAAGTTTAAAATGTGGTAAAAGTTTAAATTATTTAACTGCAGCTCCGGATCTCTGCTCCGAATACAACGGCGGCTGTCACCTGAACGCAGACTGCAACCAGACGGGACTGCTCGTCAACTGCACCTGCCGCAGCGGTTACCGTGGAGACGGCTTCTCCTGCGAGCCCCTCGACAGGTGGGCGTGGCCTATCCTCCGTTTGTCTTTTTAAATTTTTATACTGTAACAGACGTAACATCAAACTGCTGTTTTTCTGTCCAGATGTGTTGAAGAGCAGAACGGCGGCTGCAGTGACTTCGCCTCCTGCAAGTTTACCGGTCCGGTGAGTAAAAACCTGCAACGTCTGGGTTTTTATTTTGTTTCTGTGTTTTGTACGACGTCTGCAAAGATCCAGAACGTTGAAAATGGTACTTTACAAAACGTTTATTTCATTTTGAAGTGGTTTGAACTGAGCTTGAGCGTGCACTTTCATGACAAAAAAATTGTGAAAAACTAGAGAAATTGCATTTCCTGTGAAAACGCAGCGTGAACGCTGATTGCTTAATGATTTAGCTGAAAGTTGCTTAAGAATCTAGTTTATTTCAAATACATCAGTAGCTAAAAATTTGTAAGACGCTGCAAGAAGCACAAAAAGCAAAAACAAACTAAAAATGTAGAAAAGGGTTGAAATTAAAAGCTAAAACTTGCAGAAAAGCAGTAATTAGCAAATAAAGAAGCTAAAAGTTATGTGAATAAAACACAATAAATAAATAAACTGCTAGTTAAAAACCAGAAGTAGGGAAATATTAGCAAATACAGTAACTGAAAAAGCTAAACGATATCAAGAAATAAACGGCTAGCTTGAATACATAAGTAGCAAAATGTTAACAAAACAACAAGTAAAACTTAGCTTACAGGCAGAAGTAATTAAAAAAGTACCATAAGAAAGATCTTATTAAAAAAGCAACATAAGACTAGCTTAGAAGTGGAAGTAGCAAAATGCTAGCAAGAAGCAGGAAAAAGCTAGCTTAGCAGAAGAAAGTTAGCAAAAAGCAGGTAAATGTTAGCTAAAAGCTAGAAGTAGCACTGTGGTAGCTCGGTGTCTGGTTGTGTCAGGAAGTGCATCCGGTGTAAAAACAATTATCAAGTCTTCGTGCGAGTTTGTTTGCTGTGGTGACTCCTGAAGAAGGGAGCAGCCGAAAGAAGAAGAGAAAGAAAAAAAAAGTCTTGTGAATTGTTTAAACATTGAATGAACTTTCTAGGTGGAAGTACGCTGAAGTAGTTCAAAAGCAGTAAGATGTTGAAGGATTTCATGGAATATTAATGTATTAAAGACATATTTAGCTGAAAAGCTTAATATTTCAAAAAAGTTCGATGACCCAGTTGGTCAAAAGAGGTGTCAATCAAAAAGGGAGGGCCTACACAGCCATTCTGACTCGGTGATATTTAGATTTGACCCCCAGCAATTTGTGTTCAAACCTAAGTGTAGCAGCCAGTTACGGTGTTGTTATGATTTTACCTGTAACCTGGGTATAATTTGGATTCTTCAGAACGAGCGTGAGTGTGAGTGCCTGCCGGGATACGTGGGTAATGGAGTCCAGTGTCTGGAGAAGGTGGTGGCCCCTGTGGACCGTTGCCTGGAGAACAATGGAGGCTGCGATCCTGTGGCTACCTGCAAGGACCTCCATTACCACGGTAATGCATCAGCGACGACTTCTGTTACTACGGTAACACATCTTTGAGGGTCTCGTTGTCAGAGGAATAGATCTGCAATGCCTTTTGTGTTGTCATGGTAACATCCGTTTCTTGCCTTTATCCATAAAGATGGTGGTTACCAGGGTAACTCCAGTAACACACATAGCATCATTTCTTCTACTGTTTGACACAGCAGTGTGTTACCATGGCAATGCTTCTGTAACCATGGTCTTTGTACTGTCCTGTCACCATGGCAACACATCTTATGTGGAGTGAGAGCCATGTTGGCAACACACCTCTACTTCTTCCCTGTTTCTATGGTAACCACTAAATTCACCACAACTGACCTGTTTGTTTGGGTTTTTTGCAACCTTGTTACCATGGTGATGGTTGGGGACATTGTTGATTGGGTTTTGGGGCTTCAATCATATTTATGGGGTTAAACAACATGTTCAGAGGCCATTAAACACGCAGTTCGTTAAAGGTCGTTAATGCCCAGAGGTGTTTCCCACCTGGTGTTTGTTCTCGGTTCAGGTAGGATTCCCAGTTTCCTGAAGATGATCAGTCCAACCTGGAGCAGGTGTTCCTCAGACGTGGTTTATCAGAACCTGTTTTTAACCAGCTTCTTGTTTCTCAGCCAACACAGCTGGAGTGTTCCACCTGCGCTCACAAGATGGGAAGTACAACATGAACTTCAGTCAGGCCGCCGCCGCCTGCCAGGCCGAGGGTGCCATGCTGGCTACCCTCAAACAGATGGGAGACGCACAGCAGGTCAACAAAACACACAAAAACTTGTGGTTTGCATGGTGACTCCTAAAACCTTGATATTATCGTTTGACTTACCTAATAATTCTCTACTCCAATTTGGGACCATCCTCATTGTTCTTCTCTGATCCCTGCAGCTCGGGATGCATCTGTGCGTTGCCGGCTGGATGGAGGGCGGGATGGTGGGCTATCCAACCCGCTTCCCCTCAGTCAGGTGTGGTGACAACCACGTGGGCCTGGTGATCTACAAAGAACCTGTGGACCAGAGCAGCAAGTACGACGCCTACTGCTACAGGCTCAGCGGTACTGCCTTCTGAACGGTTCTTTACCTTCATCAGTCTAGTCATCATTCAGACATAATCCAGCCTGACACATTTCAGATTATTAGAGATTAATTAAACCGTGGTTTGACTTTATTCAGTTCAGACTGATGCTGAGCATCATGTCTGTCCTGCAGGGGAACGTAAATGTTGTTCTTACTCTTTTTGTTACTTCTCAAAGGAAAAAAAAAACAGTTTACATTAAAAAAAAAAACATTTTTATTTGTGAAAGATGGTCAAACTAAGCCGTTCACATCCTTCACTTCAACCAGCTTGGGTGAACCCAGGTCAAAAATCCTGAAACTAACCAGAACTTACTCTGGCCCAGTCTGTGGGTCAGAGCCAAAAATGTTCTGATAACGACAAAACAAACAAGCTAAACAGGATGTGGAACAATGTTTACATGCAAGTGTGTGTGTGTTTTTGTGCAGGTGTTTCATGTGTGTGTTTTTGTGCAGGTGTGTCATGTGTGTGTTTTTGTGC